AATCTAGGATGCATGTGCACTGGATTTCAGGTTCATGGCCTGAGTTCTCCCATGTCCTGGGAGCAGCACACCCTTCCCCTCCGGGGAACAGCATCTTCCCCAGAGCGTGTCCGTGTGTTCTGAGCAGCACTGACACTGCAGCGGCTCCTCCTGGGTCTGCGGACGAGCAGAGCATCACCGATTCAGGGACAGGCCTAGGGGCGGACACGTGACACCGGGCCAGTGCTCAGATGGCTGGAGAGGGGTGTTCTAATTTTCATTAGGAAAATACAAAGCCAGGAGCTCCCGGCCACTATCCTGCCCCCATTTGGAGCTGGTCAGCCTGAGTGTGAAGCTGATACGGTGGAAGGCAAAGCCAAGGCACAAGGTTACCAGGTCCTGATGAGACTTTTGAGCTCCCAAAAGTGATTGGGGTAGAAGCCAGCTCTAGTTTCAATATTTTCAAATATTTGAGTTAATTTACTTTTCCTTAAACCCATTTGGATAGGATTTTCTGTCATTTACACTCAAAAGAGCGCCACCTCTCATTGCAGTGGTAGTATACCACCCCATTTCACAGATGTGGGGCTGAGTGTCCAGGATGACAGAGTTTTCCCAAGACCACCCAGCTGTGGACTCAGGTCAGTGTCCCTCCAAAGCTGTTCAGCTTTACCACCAAGAAGTCACTTACCTACTTCTGTTCCATGCTGGCTGCACCCAAATATGGGAGTCGGGATTTCCCTGATGGTCTAGTGGTTAAGATCCAAGCTTCCACTGCAGGGGGCGCATGTTCGATCCCTGGTCTGGGAACTAAGATCACACAGTTCGGTTCAGTCGCTCAGTCGTGTCCAACTCTTTGCGACCCATGAACTGCAGCACACCAGGCATCCCTGTCCATCACCAACTCCCGGAGTTTACTCAAACCCATGTCCATCAAGTCGGTGATGCCATCCAACCATCTCATCCTCTGTCATCCCCTTCTCCTCCTGCCCCTAATCACACATGTCACATGGAAAAAAAAGAAAAGAGAAAAAAGTTTGAATAGAATAAAAAGGAAACTACAATATATCAACTTAAAAAATTATATGGGAAAACTAACAAATGAAAAACAAAGATGGGAGTCAAGTTCCACCGTCTTGCTAGTGAATGGGAATCTGTGGTTCTCTTAGGTCCCAGGCTGAAAACACTTGTTGGATGTTGGCAGGAAGAAAAGAAACATTTCCTTGAACAGATTAATTTTTGGACTTGGTAATTATAATTAGCTATTTTTGACTTAGTGACAGCAACCTCTGTGGGTTATTTATTCATCACGTCTGATTCTGAAGCAAAACAGCTTTGATTTGGTTTCCCAGTGACCAGATGAACCATATCTTTGGGCAGTTGGTAGAGAACTTCCTAACAACAAGAAATAAAAAAAGAGAATCTGAGTACTCCTCCTTCCCCTCCAACATTCTTTGGGAAACATGCTTTGCTAGGTTCTGGACTAGTTCACTCACATGTGTCACTAGCAAAATATTGAAGAGGCAAAGAAGCCTCATGGAAACAGTTTTATTGAGTGCCTCTGTGACAAAAATATCTTCAAAGGGAGTTCTATCAATTTTATTAAGCTACATTGTGCACTTTTACATGACAAGCATATCAAGCACAATCGCATTTGAATTAGCAATCAGGTTTTAATAGTATTTGACACTTCCCCACCTTGTACTGGCAGAAGCTGTCTCTCTGAGAGACACTGGGAGAGGAAAAGTCAGCCTCCTGCTGAGAAGTGGGTGGCGTCCGAAAGTTCATTTGTGAGTTTGTTAGTTGTTGCTTAGAACACATGTTCCCACAGTCAGAAGGGGCTTTAGTTTCCTGTGCTGAGACTCAAGAGCCAAAGGAGCCCCTTATATCAGTTAAGGGGTTTTGGTGTCAAATAATAGAAATGAACTCTGGTTAATTTCAGCCAAATTACTGGAAGGATACTGGAAGCTCTGAATGGTGGGAAAGCTGAGGGACCAGACTTTCCACGAGGAAGCCCCAAGAGGCCCACAGTAATGACCACCATCGTAATGTCTGTCATCACCCTGTCTACCAAAAACCTGGTCCTTCCTGTCGTCCTCCCCCTCAGCAAATGGCTCCTCCGCCCATCAGGGTGGAATTGTCCTTGACGCTCCTATTTTTCTCACACTTTACATCCAGTTTTTTGGTAAACCTGGTGAGGTCTATCTTCTAAATACGCATGGTATCTGCTCACTTCCCGTTCACCCGTGGCCCTAGGCATCATCACCTCTCACCTGAAGCACTGCCAGCCCGTGGCCCTCGGCGTCGTCGCCTCTCACCTGAGACGCTGCCAGCCCGTGGCCCTCGGCGTCGTCGCCTCTCACCTGAGACGCTGCCAGCCCGTGGCCCTCGGCGTCGTCGCCTCTCACCTGAAGCACTGCCAGCCCGTGGCCCTCGGCGTCGTCGCCTCTCACCTGAGACACTGCAGCGCCTCCGTGCTGGCCCCCCGCCTTCCCCTCTCAGGCTGCGACAGCCAGCGGCCAGAGGGGTCAAGCTACAACGGCTTTCTCATGTTTTGGTTAAGTGGCTTGATCTGACTGATCTGGGTCCTGACCTGCCTCCTCTCCTGCCTGCTCATCAATCACATTTCCACCCCATCCTTCAGCTCCAGCCACACTGACTTCCCCCTTTCTGTTTCTCAAACATAGTCAGCAGGCTCCTGCCTCAGGGCCTTTGCACTTGCTCTGCCTTCTGCCTGGAACACTTTTGCCAGAGCTTCTCTGTTCAAGCATAGTTTCCTTAGTGAGGCCTTCTCTGATCACCCTCTAAAACAGAAGTCACCTTTTCCCCCATCTATCTCACAATCTATCCCCTCCAGTTTACTTTTTCTTCACAGCCTCATCACCATCTGAGGTTATACAAGACACAGATGTGTTTACAGTCCTAGGATGTAAGCTACTTGGGGCTTCCCTCGTGGCTCAGATGGCATAGCGTCTGCCTGCAATGTGGGAGACCTGGGTTTGATCCCTGGGTCAGAAGATCCCCTGGAGAAGGAAATGGCAGCCCACTCCAGTACTCTTGCCTGGAAAATCCCATGGATGGAGTAGCCCGGTTTGCTATAGTCCATGGGGTCACAAAGAGTCGGACACGACTGAGCAACTTCACTTTTCACTTCTCATCAGCTACTTAGGATATAACCTACTTGAATTTGCCTTTTTTTCAATTCCATGTCTTCACACCGGCGCTGATTAAATTGCATATGTGTGCGCTCTGTTGTATCTGACTCTGAGACTCCAGGGACTGCAGCATGCCAGGCTTCTCTGTCCATGGGATTTTCCAGGCAAGAATACTGGGGTGGGTTGCCATTTCCTTCTCCAGGAGATCTTTCTGACTCAGGGATCAAACCCATATCTCTTACATTGGCAGGTAGGTTCTTTACCAGCTGAGCAACCAGGTAAGCCACAGATTAGCAATAAATGATTTTTTAGAATGAATGGATGAAGGTATGCATGGATAAATATAGGATCAGCCCTGTGGTGGGAACAGACTCATTAGTCATTGTGCTTCCACTGGGAAGAATGAATTCTGATAACTTTCCATCTCAAAAATCAAATTTCAGGGAGGGGTTTCTGATGAGTGTAGGTTGACTAACAGGCTCATATCTTAGCAAAAGGAGAATAGGATGCAAATCCCACGAGTTTCCCCAAAGAAGACACACTCCCAAAAGGAAACCAATTTCCAACAAATGGTAGCGATTCTTGAGATACAGGCGAGGGAGCTCTGCCCCAATGTGTGAGTTTGTGCATAGAAGTGAAGTAACTTCCTATTGCAGTAATTTGATGCTTCCAGTAACCAAAACCCAAGTAACAGCAGCTTAGCCACACAAGGGCTTATTTTTCCGGCGTAACGGACCACTGAGAAGACAGCTGCTGCCACTGCATCTGCAGCAACAGAAGCAGAACCCAGGCTGGCGTTCCTGGGTCTTCTTAGCCTTTCACGGTCACAATACGGCAGCCATGTGTCCGAGTTTCCTGCCTTCACACATCCTTCAAAGGGAGGAAGGAGGGGAAGACAAATGACACAGTGTTTTCTTCCAGTACCTCTCTCTCTAACCTAGGAGGAAACAGCCTTCCTAGGAGCCATCTGAGACTTTCCATTGTCTCTTTCTTGGCAACACTGGAGGACTTGGGACAATGCTACTTAGACTTTTCCAGTCTCTATGGTGAGAGTTGGACATTGAGAAGGGTGTTGGGTGGTCAACCAATGGTGTCTGCTTGAGATCAAACAGCGAGAGGGTTAGGACTTGATTTAATTTGAAATTTTGTCTGGTGCCAAAGCCTATCTCTTGGGCTTGAGGCTAAATTGCCTCTTGGGAGGAAGATTTTGTTTTCCCTTTCATTTTGCTTTGCTTTGTTTTCAGATTCTGTCTAGGTAGCTAGACGCAAATGGCCATATATTACATGAACCTGTTGATGTGAAATGTCCAGAACTGGCAAATCTGTAGAGACAGAAAGCAGATTATTGGTTGCCAGGGGCTGGGGTGGTTGCAGTGAATGGAGAGTGACTACTAATGAGTATGGGGTTTGTTTTTAAGGTAATGAAGATATTTTGAAATTTGACAGTGGTGTCAATTGCATAATTCTGTGTATATACTAAAAATCACTGGATTGTACACTTTGAAATAGTGAATTTTATGGTGCGTGTGTTATAATAAAGCTGGTATTTAAAAAAAGATCAGTGCTGAACATATACTGTAGTCTTCATAACCCTCTTCATTAAAAAATATACCAGGCTCTTCAAAACATCACAACGCCCTACCCCTCTCCTGTCCTCTCAGATGTCATGTGGCTCTTCACCCCAGTGAGCTTCCTGGGTCCCACCTGTCTATTAACTCCCCTGCCCTCCTTCCACAGATCAGCACTCATTTCTCTCATTCCTTTTAGGTCTTCTTTCTAGGTATTTTTCCATACGTACTCACACATGAAAAACAATTTATTTCCCTTGCACTCTCATGACCTCATTAAATTGCAAATTCCACGAGATGGTACTTGACATTACAGCTAATATTGTTTCTACGTAGTAGTTGCTCATGTGTTGCTAAGTGGAGGACCCGATTATAAAAATATTTGAGAAGGACTTTAAGAAGCTCTATAGAAATATTAGATCAGTTGCTTCAGGATGGAAATTCTCAACCTGGGCTATGGTTTAAAACCCCTGGGTAGCTTTTCCAATGCTGGCACTTGGGGTCCGTGCCCAAAGATTCTGATTCCATTGGGATGGCATCAAGGGTAACTCTAACATTCAGCAAGGATTAAAACAGTGGTTTTCGACTGACAGTGATTTTGCCCCTTCCCCGGGGCACATCTGGCAATGGCTGGAGCAGTTCTGGTCTTCACAGCTCAGGGAGAGACATGTGCTATTTCATTTTGCGGACCGAGAGACAGCAGGGATGCAACTAAACGTCCTTCAATGCCTATGGTGCCTGCATGATAAATACACATCTGCTCAAAACATCAGGAATTCTGAGGGGGGAGAAAATCTGGGTTAGAGGATTCACAGAGGACTGGCCAGTTGCATCATCTGAGTTTAACTCTGGGGCAGGTGGTGGCAAGTAGAAATGCATGAACACTGTACCCAGGTAGCCAAGTGGGTAACCATGGAGAGTCACAGCTGCAGTTCAACACGGCTGTGAGTTTGATCTCATGTGTCCCATGGATCCACACCTCCTTTGCCGATAAGCTCATCTGAAAGCAAGACAGAAGTTAGGTTGTTAAAATTCTTGTTATTTTTACAGGCATTCTACAGCTAAAAGCAATCAATTGTCAACCACAATGAGCAATTCCCGTTCAAAAAGAACTTCTGACAATTATCACGCGTCTTTATTCCTTCAGCATGTTTTCAGAATTATTGCTTTCATTATGGAGCAAAACTTGGGCCACAGCAACACAGTCCGGAAAACAGCACACCAGCCTTTGTGATAAGGGGGGAGCAGTAGATAAGAACAACCAACCACGGGCTCAGGGGAGAAGTCTTTGTGGGCCGGAGTGAACGCTGAATCGGATGCAGCGCACGCCAAAGCCACTGAAGCAACACACATCCTATACACCTTGGGATAAATGTTGACTCTGTGGATTTTGGTTTGTTTGTTTAAAACCAGTCACTTGATATGTTCTCATCAGCTATGCGAGAGATTGCGATCATGGATAATGAAAACAAAATGACAGGCAGATAAATTTAGTTACTGTTTAAGAAATCTTGTAAGGTATTCTCAATAGTATAAAGATAAGGAAATCGCATAATTGAAAGAGCTGAAAACAGCATTAGCACGAGAGAATATAAGGAGAGCAAGGAAATCAATTGCAGAATGCAGGCAAAAGGCTCAGATAAGGCCGTTTCTCCTTTCAGTGAATGAAATTGCCCACTATGAAAGTCAGGCGGCCTAGCCTAGTGTTTTCCAACCTAGACTGCACAACTGAACCTCCTAGACAGCTTTAAAAGTGCGAATGTCCATGGTATACTCCAGACCAATGCAGTCTGAACCTCAGGGGTGGGATCAGGCAGCAGCATATTGTAAAGTTCCTCGGATGGTTCCGAGGAGCAGCCACATTTGAGACCCCCTAGAAAGTACTCCTTCCCTCTTCCCACTAATGTGGGGATGCCTGTAGAACAGGGTGTCTTGGTTTGGCTCACATCATGTCTTGTTGCACTTAAACCTTGGGGCTACAGAAGCAGTTCCCTTAGTAAGGACTGGTGGCAAAGGCACTGGGACAGTGTTGTGAGCCAACGGCAGAAATTTCCAGTAGCAGCAGTGGCCATGGCACTTGGAGAACAGTGTCTTAACAAGAGTTAAAATTCCCCTTGGAGTCACCTTGATGAGGTTCCTCTGACACAATCTGGTTCCTGCTCATTTTTCCAGCCTTCTTATCTTTTGGGGGACTTCCTGATTTCCTGACAACAAATAAAACTTCTGCTAAGTGAACCAGAATTTGTTTCTGTTGCTTGGAGTCAAGAATGCTGATGGGTATATTTATAGAATGTCTTTCTTGAAATGGACAAATTTGAAAAAAAAATACCTTTAGCTTCATCCTAAGTAATAGACTTCCCTGGTGTCTCAGCTGGTAAAGAATCTGCCTGCAATGCGGGAGACCTGGGTTCGGTCCCTGGGTTGGGAAGATCCCCTGGAGGAGAGCATGGCAGCCCACTCCAGTATTCTGGCCTGGAGAATTCCATAGACTGTAGAGTCCATGGGGTCGCAAAGAGTCAGACTGAACAACTCACTTTAAGTAACAATATCCATGGAATCCCTTTAGATGTGTTAGTTTTAATCTTTCTGAATATATTACATTTCTATGTGCAAACATTCCCACTGTGGCTGATTTCAAACTTACCTGCACAATCTCAAATGACTTCGCAGGTTGCTAACAATTTAATAGTCAGCTTTCATGAGCTGGGAAGACAAGTGAGAGGTGGCAGAGACCATGGGAGAAAGTTTCCTAAAAAATTCATCATTCTAGCACCAGGATGACGAGGAATAGATGTGGGACATGAAGCCAACAGATGCACCCTACTGAGAGTAAAGAAGCTTCCATTTATTTTGCTAAACACCTATTGAGATGTATTTCCATGAATGTGCTAGGAAGTATGTTCTAGAAGAGAACTCACTGATCCGTCACCAAGTGTCTATTGTCCACCAAGGACAGAGCCTGTCTCAATCTGGGGGCACAGAAATGAACTCATCACCTAGTGTGGGGAGCTGACATGTCACAAGACGTTGTAAAAGATATGGCAAGTGCTCTAATAGAGGACGGGTATTAGGGGAGGCAATCAGCAGTCCCTGCTTGGGGAGGGAAGGACTAGAGAAAGTTTCAGAGAGCAGGAATTATCTGTGCTGGTTCTAGAAGGATCCATGGGAACGTGTCAAACAAAGGGGTGGGCACACCAAGCCAAGGGATCGGGGTTTGCAAAGTTCCAGGGTATGAAATAGCTCCGAGCGATTTCAGGTGAACTCGGGCGGGACGCGGGCCCAGATCTTGCATGATGTGTTAGGGACGCTGGGTTGCTCTCACTGCCGCTGAGAGCAATCAAAGTGCTTCAAACAGGAGGAAAGGTCATGATTCAACTGGCATTCTAGAACGGCTAGGTGTCTGCATGGAGGACTGATCCTAAAGGAGTGGATCTGAAATCAAGGAGATCAGCAGGGATTTCAGTGGGAGAAGGTGGGAGGAGCAAGCGGGGAAACGACGTCAACCTGGTGGCCATCTGGGTGTGAGGGGGTGGTGGACCCAGGAACTCACCATTTCTGTCCAAGAGGACCTCTAACTGACCCTTTGGAAAGCACAGGCTTATATGCAGGAGAGAAACATAAAACCTACAGGCAAAGAAGCGAGGCCTTAGAAATGAAGTGCTTCACTGGTTTAATATTATAAACAAAAATGACTCATGATCAGGAAGAAAAGAGATCCATATTGATTGGCACGATTCAGAAAAACTTATGAATGAGGCAGAAAGAGAAGGATTCCATTAATAACAGGGGTTGCACTGGTCAGAGTGAACCAAATGCTGCAACCCTGCAGTCAGGCCCCGTGTCCACACTCGCCTCACTTCTGGGTCCAGGCTCACAGGATGGTAGCGAGGTTCTGTCTCCCTACTCCATGCCCTCTCTTTTTCCCTCTGGTTGGTGTCATTCTTAGACAGATGTGCCCCTTTACCTGGATAAGAAGAAAAAAGTCCCCCTTTTTCTGGAGAAAGGGCGTCCGATATTTCAATTTTTGAGAGATTGGAAGTTTGAAAATATTTTTATTCCTGAGTAATAATTTGGCTAGTTATGAAATTACCAGAAAGAAATACTTTTGCATGAGCATTTTGAAGAAATGTATTGTCTTCCAGGTTTCATCATGGCTACTGTGATGTGTGATGGTACTTTTAAAATCTGTCTCTGCAAAATTTTTAGGATTTGAAATTTTATGATGACATAACTAGGTGTGGACTTTTCTCACTTTTGGAGCTGGGTAACTGCTGGGTTCCTGAAGCTGGTCTTCTTCGGCTTTAGAAATTTTCTTTGATAATTTTTTTATGGTATTTCCCCTTTTTCACTCCTAATTTTTATTGCTGTTGTTTTTAAAAAAACACCCATTATTTGGATATTGTATCTTTAATTTTCTTAATATTCTTTTCATCATCTATCTCTTTATTTTTCCTTTGTTCTACTTTCTGGGAGAATTTTCACCATCATCTTCTAAACTAGCATTTGAATTTTTAAGTGTTGCACTCTATCTTTCAATTTCCAAAAGTTATTTATTGTATGCATTTTATTCATGAAAGCTACAACCCGCTGAAGAGATTTCAGAACATATGACAATTTTTTCTTGCATGTCACACTATTTCCTTAGAGCTCCTCCTTTCTCCCTTGTTTGTTCACATGCCTGAATTTTATCTTAGAGGCTTTGCTCAAATACCCAGTGACGCTTGAATCTTCATTTGTATTTTGAAGCAGGACTACCTGACGGTTCAGCAGCTGCAACGCAGGAGACACAGGAGACGCGGATTTGATCCCTGGGTGGGGATGATCCCACTGAGAAGGAAATGCAACTCACTGCAGTGTTCTTGCCTGGGAAATCCTATGGACAGAGGAGCCTGGCAGGCTACAGTCCATGGGGTTACAGAGACTCCTAGGTTAATGGGAAGGTTCTGGAACCCAGTCAATTATCACCGGGTTCATTCACTTTCCGTCTTTCAGAACCTGGCTGGCACTTCTCTCCTGCCACTGTCTGCTCTTCCACGCTCTCTCTGTCCTTGTGGAGTTTATAACCCCCAGCCCCTCTACTGTCATGGTAGCAAGGTTTTGAGAGGCGAGAAGATAAACGGGTGAATTCAACCCACCATCTGAAACCGGAAGTCCTTTAATATACTTTCTATTAATGTTTAACATGTCCATCCATTCCCCCTCTCTCCTGACTGCTGCTGCAGACAGTCAGACACCTTGATTGAGCTGTCCTTGATGGCTCTGTTCAAGTCTTTTCCTGCTGAGTATTTCACAAGGTCAGAATCCGCAGCGCTGAGGTCAGCTCCCCAAGAGCACAGTCACAGGAGCTTTAGAAGAGCAACTGAGTCCTCCTAACTCCTGCCCGTCACATCCTCACCCACTCTTTTCTAACGGGAACTGAGGGAAGGGGAAAATGAGGCACCATGGAAGAGACCCTACAGAGTTTTGTGACAGACCCTACACTCACCCAAAAATGCAAATGGGAGCCACAAGATGCCTTTCCATTTTGCAGTTTTATTATAGCTTGAAACCCTTTAAATTTTCTGATAAGTCCTTTTGAAAAATTCCATTCAAAAAACACCTCGACAGCGTAGAGGACCAACATTACCCGCCCTGGTCTTTCCCCCCTGACCCTGCGCCCGCCCTCTATGCACGTGGTTTCTGTCTTTCCCCTCGCATCCCTTAAGGCACGCCTTTCCGCTTGTACTAGCGCATGAGCCCTCATCTATTCATTTAGCAAGTGATTTTTGAGTCTCTATTTTGTGCCAGGCATGGATACGGAGATGTAGGCGGTACGTTGGGGAATGAGACAGGCCAAAGCCCTTGCCTGGGGAATCCATGCATTGTAGTGGATGTGTAAATCTTTAACCACCCAATACACCTTATAACCACAAATGCACACACACTTGCTGGCTGTATTACACATGGTGTTCTGTAAGCTACTTTTTTTTTCACTTATCATCCAGTACATCTTTCCACATT